AGAGGAGTGCCCAGGGTCTTCACTCAGACAACAGAATCCTTGAGGGGTAGGTCTGGAACCTGGGGCTGAAGGCCCCTAGACCAGTAGAGTTTTCTCTACATCATACCATGAATGCGGTATTGCTTACACAGCAGGAAAAATGTATTCTACAAAGAGTCTCACCCAAATTAGCTACACGAAAGTGCTGGTTCTTAGAGACTTATATGGAAAATGTGTTTATGTGGAGCTTTTCCCCAGTGGCATCATGTACACGATGTTACTATATCAAGGCAGGGGAATTTCTCTGTGTTTTCTTAATAGCACCACATCGTCGCTTCTCAAAGCTGAGTGTGAGCGCGCAGTTGAAGTCGGAGTGCCCTGTCTCCTGGGGCACCCGGCACAGCGCAGGGTAATTTATGATTTAACAGCAGTGTGTTGCTTGTGGTCTGCATTCCCACCTCTGCCCTCTTTCTTGGAGTGGAGATTTGGCTACGTTTCAAGCCCGTCTGATTTACACTTCACGGATCTGTTCTACATCCCTGTAACCTGAATAATTTCTCAGTAGAATCTGTAATTAAAACTCAATACTGTGAAACACTATGAGGTTGATCATTTTTCCTTGACGTCTAAAAATAAAACAAATTATTCCTCTATCCAGTTGGAGTCTCTGACATAGACAAGTATACTATGTTGGCTGCCTTCTTGCCAATTCACCTAACACTCCCTCTGATGAAATGCCAGCTTGGCAATTCTCTGTAAAGATGCACGTCTACCCTCATTAACATACTGTACTAGCACATTTACTCATAAAGAAAATATAGGAAGGAAGTAAGATGAACTGCCCATGCCTATTAATTTTACCCTCAAGTCATTCCTTTATTTGTTTTTCAAAATATTTAGTTTTAGGGTGACACCTGTGCAGACAGGTGTGTCTTCCTGTCTGTGGTTCCACGTGATGCCATTCACGGGATAAACATGTACTGGGCACCATCCACCTGCTGTGGATGAGCTGGCCCTGGAGATGAAACACACAGTGTCTGGGTCCCAAGGAGCTCACTGTCTAGTTGGGGCAAAAACGTGTAAATTAATAAATGCCGAATAAAGGAGGAGCTTCTATCAAATAGGCCTTCCCATCACAGAGTGGGGGACACAGAGCAGGGACCGGGGCAGGGAGGAGAATCTCCAAAGGCATTATGGAGATGAGATTTCCCTGAATGTGACGTGAGAAGGGCCGTCGGCTGCAATGAGGGTACTTCTGATCTCAACGGCTGATTCTAGCTGCTGACGCTTTGGGCTGTTGTCAAGCATCAGAGTGTTATAAGATTCTGAAGAATTGTAAAAAAATAATAAATTAAATGCTAAAGCTGAATTAAGTACCAGTTTGGGGAGTATCTTTAGTTTCTGGTTCAAAACTTTTGCAAAAAATATAAGCTTGGATTCTGTACATCATCTTCCACTTGGATTTTTTAAACGTTAGTTCTGTTTGGTATAAAACAATAAGGTGGCTTTCATTAAATGTCAGAATTTAGAGAGAAGGGATGAGTGTCATGAAATCGAATAGAGATAGGCTCTGAGGATGGTTAGACCCCAAGGTTTTCCTAAGGCAGATGAATTCTTGGAAAATCTCTCGAGAAAAAGTGTTTTTATAATTTAAATGACTATCCTGCTAATTTATCTGTTACAAAAGCTCAGAATCCTGTGTCTCTTTTGTCTTTCAAAGTGATATACACTGAGGGTCCAAAGTTCTGTTCTAGAAGAATCCTGGTGGGAATCTCCTGGGATCCCTGGGTTTGTGTGCCAATTTTGTAGCCTTGGGCAAGTCGCCTTATTCCCCAGGCCTCAGTTTCCCCACATCTGTAGACCAGGGGGGACGGAGGGCTAATGCTCGCTGTCACCTCCTTCTGAAAGGTGAAGACGCTGCTCCTGGCAACACACGCAATAAACGCACTTACGCCGCTTTTGGCTTTTGCCAGACCAAATGAAGTCAGTGCCTAAACGCCTTTGGAGTCAGACCTTTCATGATTAACCATCTCTGAATATATAACAATCAGCATACATTTAAAACATGCCTCAATTCATATTATAAGCGGATGAATACTTAGAGTCCAGTTACAGATTTACCTACAACCTGTAATCTTCAATGTAGCTGGGTTAACTTTCTCCCTCCATCTGCACCTTTCACTCATTTATCCGTAGAAGCAATTATCAGGCTGCAGAAAATATAAGGCACGCAGAACCTTAAAAATATAATGTGGTAGGGGGATGAATGTGGCATTTTCGCAAATGGTTTTTTAAAAGTTTGATGTTGTAAAACAATGTGAGGAGGTAAGTGGGCAGACGAATAGGGGACTCTTGCTTCTGCTTCTACGCCGAATTTTATTGACAACTATGTTGGCAGCCTCACCTCCCAACAAAACGAGTCACGATACCTTAAGCAATTCTGATGGCTGAGGGAGGCTGTCCCGATTGCACTCAGGACTGCCACTCTTTAGGTACTGGCCGTGTGCTCTGCCAGAGGCCCTAGGGCCAAGCAGACGGGTGGCTGGGTCCCTGCTGCCCTCACTCCAGCATATCAACACCCTAGCAACTGGCCCTGGACACCTGTCAGCAGAGGCCTACCCACTTGGCCTCTGTCAGTTGCCAAAAGCCCAGCCCCACCACCCCACAAAGTGCACGCACATGCACATCTGTACCTGTGCACACATGCACACGGAGACGCACGCTGGCTGCGCTCTGCCCGTTTCAAAGCTGCAGTACATCTCAAGCTGGCCTGGAGCGACCTCAGCTTCCTGGTGGGAGCAGGGTGGTGAGATGGACTCTTGGGGCACATCTTAGCATGGGACAGGAAGGACGAAGCCTGGCACTGGGGACAGCAACACTGGCCTCCAGAGCAGAGGCTGGATGCTCCCTTCCCGGTCCGCAGGAGTCTCTCCACTTCTACTTGCAGGCATTTGTGTTGATGCAGGGGTTCCTATTGTCTTACACAATCTCTGAGGAGTGTAGCCTGAGGGATCCCTAAAATTCCATGCCATCAGCAACTCCCAAAATACCAACTTACAGAAAGCATTCCAATCTCACTTTTACTTGCTCCATTTTCATGACTGAATATGGGATACCATTTCATTTCCACATCTGCCTTTTGTCAGTATTACCCAATCTTTCTCCCATCTAGATAGTTCACAGGCAAACAAGATTTGACCCAAAATTTTTTTTGATGTTTCCTATCAAATTGATTATCGGATAACTTGTAAAAATAATTATTGCCTATTGCCTCAAGCTCCCAGTTTCATGACTGGCTCTTCCATTTTCCTTGGAGGACAGCATTTTCCTGCGTGGTTTAACTGCTGCTATAACTGAATTCAGTTTCCCTCCTCTCATGCAGGGATACCACAGCACTGACTCTTTCTGTAAAGAGTCTCTTTGTATAATACAGAATTTTGCCCCTTTTTAAAAATAAAACTGTTTTTGACAGAGGTGTTGTGTCTGTCAAGTGTGTTTGGGCAAGAAAAAAAGGCTGATACCTGCTGGATTATGTATGTATAAAAATTCTTAAAGGGTCTTTTAAAAGTCATTTCAGGCCAGCAGCAATGGCTCACGCCTGTAATCCCAGCACTTTGGGAGGCTGAGGTGGGTGGATGACGAGGTCAGGAGATCAAGACCATCCTGGCTAACATGGTGAAGCCCCATCTCTACTAAAAATACAAAATATCAGCCTGGCATGGTGGGGGGTGCCTCTAGTCCTGGCTACTTGAGAGGCTGGGGCAGGAGATTCGCTTGAACTCAGGAGGCAGAGGTTACAGTGAATGGAAATTGTGCCAGCCTGGAGACAGAGAAAGACTCTGTCTCAAAAAAAAAAAAAAAAAAAAAAAAAAAATTCATTTCAACAATAAAAAGAAGCAAAATGAATTGATCAACTTAATGTATTTTTATTAAGCCCCTTTTAGGGCAGGTGCTCAATAAAATAGCCATGGGGACTCGGCAACACTGCATCTCTCTGTGCCTCAGATGCCTCATCTGTACTGGAGGCCATCCTTGTATCTACCTCAGAGGGTCTTCAAGCAGATTTAAGGAGCTAAGTTACGTAAAGCTCTTAGCAGTGTCTAAGAAATAAACCCTGAAGAGATGCTAAAAATCGGTATTATTTCGATCAAAGTATCTTTAATAGTATTTAAAGGAGCCACAAAATTATGGCTATTTACATATTGGAATTGTATTTTTTTAAAATGAGGCATTCATCTAACCTGAGGTCATTTAAATGTTTTATAATAGCTTTCCTTTTGAAATTAAAAAATACTGAAACTCCTTTTAGCATGTCCATTTTTTTCTAAGAGTTTCTACAGAGCCAGCTTTGGGAGTGCCCTCCTCCCGGCCAGTGTCCTTTAGGGCAGCGCACGCTCACGTCCTCCACACTGAAGTTTAGCTCTTCATTTGTCGGTTCTGTTCCTTACTCTCCATGTTACGCAGTGCAGCTTGATCCGTCTCTAATTTCCTCGTGATTTCCCATATGACTTATTTTCTTCTTCTTACTGCTTTTCCAGGTGCTTTTGACAATCACGCTGATTGCCAGCAGTTCTTTCCTCTCGTCACAGTGAAATTCCAACCGAACAGAGCGCAGTTAATAATTCACCAGCCTCACACACTCAGCCCTTTGCATTTCTTTCTCCAGGTGTTTCATGCAAGACACACACATTAGGTAGGCTCCAGGTGACAATCTTTTTCTAATAGCTATGTGCCTGATTAAAAGCCCTGGGGGAAAGTAGAAGAAAACTGTACCCACATGCTTCTGGCAGGCTTGGAGGGATGGGTTTGGGTGTGGAAAGCACTTTGCCAGCAAGATGCCTCCTCTGTGCCTGTGGGGAGGTCAGGAAAGCAGGCTGGGCAAGGCTTCCCTTCTCTGAGCCTGGAACACTGCCGTGACTGAAGACTCCACAACGTGCCTGCACGTGTGTGTGTCCCCACAGCACGGAGGAAACGCGTAGAGCCAGGACCCAGCTTATTTTACTTTCTTTCATCACTTCCAGGAATACATATGACTTCTGCTGTCTGAGACGGTCAGGACATCCGCTCCCATCGTGGAATTGGACAGGACCATCAGATCTCACAGACCCTTCGAGGATGACATCAGTTTCATTTCACTACAGAATCTCGAACCCTCTTTCATGTATGAAAAGTGTGTGTTCTACGCAGCTAATTCATAGGATCTTCTTTTGCAACTTACCATCCTTTTTCAAAATATGTTAGGTCCTATGTGTGCTTCCCAAACAGCACAGCTCAGCAGCATCTCCGGAGTCCTTCTTAAAACACAGGCTGCCAGGCCCACCACAGAGGTTTGATTCAGCAGGCCTGGGACTGGGGCTGGGGCTGGGTGTGAGATCCGGGTGTCTAACAAATGCCCAAGTGATGCTGATGTTGCTGCCTTAGGGACTGCACTTTGAGAACCACTGACATTTGAAAAACAGTTTTTAATGCTTTTCCCACACTTGTGAGTGATTTGGTGAAGCTTTCTTCACTTCTTGGTTTCCCCACTTACAAACAGGAATAAATCCCCCAACCCCCAGTTCCTTGGATCCAGGAAGGGCTAAGGAATTCGAGAGTACTATGGTGAATACATCTTCACACAGAAGCAGTGTGCAGCTGATTTGAGGAAAAGCGTATCTCTAAAAAGTTAAGACGCACTCAATTAGCCGACGTCACAGTGCCTGTGTCTGCCACAAGGGAGGCATAGTATGTCCAAGTGCGATGTCTTCTTTCCTTGCCCCACTGCTCCACGAGGGCAGGGCTGTCTGCCTTGCTTACGATGACACCTCCACCCCTAGAAAATACCGCTTTAAGCACTCACATGTTGGGCTGAGAGCCCTCACTGGGGTGCTTGTTGAATTAACATAAAAATCCTGCACCTACTCTTAGAGCAGATGAACACATTGTTTTTTAAGAGATGGGGTCTTGCTCTGTCACATGGGCAGCAGTGAAGTGGCACAATCATAGTTCACTGCAGCCTTGAACTCCTGGGCTCACATGATCCTCCCCTCAGCCTCCTGAGTAGTTGGGACATAGGAATGTACTCCCATATCTGGCTAATGTTTTAAATTTTTTGTAGAGATGGGGTCTCACTGTGTTGCCCAGGCTGGTCTTGAATTGCTCTGCTCAAGTGATCTTCCTGCCTCAGCCTCCCAAAGTGTTGGGTACAGGCATGAGCCACCACGCCCAGCTGCAAATTTTTGCGTTATAAATGATACTGTGTACTCAGTACCCTTAATTCACCTGATGAGCAAAGGTGATGCAGGCACCAACGTTTTGGGAGAGTGGCACTCACATCTCCATTATCTCTAGTAGCCTTTACTTCCTGTGACTTCCTCTAAATCACTTTAGATAAACACCACGTGGGCAGCTTCTCCAGCAGCCTTCTCCCTCCTTTGTCATTCCTCAACAGTGAATTCCTGTGCAGGAAAACTGATGTCACCCTGTCCCACATATTACCTTCCTGATCTTCCACGCTGCAGTTTTCTAGGATGTTCTAACATATTGCAGATCTGGACCTCCCTGTCCAGCCTCTGGGTACATCATGCTGTTGCCACTGCCACCTCTTCCTGCCAGTGCCTCCACTTTGGGTCACTTCATTCCAGAATCCTGGAACCCTGTGGCTACTGCATATTAATTAAGCCTCTGTATTTTCTGTTTGTCCTAATGTTTTGACGGTGTCTTGCAGAAGGACTCCCAGCTGAGCGGGGAGCTCTGTCATTAAGCCATACACCTGGTGCAGGCTGCGGACACTCAGAAGGGGCACCTTTCCCCAGTGTGTACAATTTCAGAGAGGCAGCCCTTGCACCCAGCTCCCTCTTCCATCTAGGCACCCCCGGCCACTTATCTTCCCAGCACATCTAAGCGGAAATCCTCCCAGATACTCCCAGATGTTCCCTTCTTCTGGTGGTTTGGATCTTGCATCTGCCCCCAACCCTTCACTTGTTGGCTGTGACCCTGGAAGGATTTCACGTTTATTCTGGAAGATGTATCAGTCGGTATGACTTTCTTCTAGATGAGCGCTGAAGTCCCACTGCTCTTTACTGAGTGATAATAAATACCTGAGGAAAATGACTAAAGGTGCCTTTCTCTTCAGGCATCTGCACCCATCAGTGGAATTACCGCTTTGACCGGTTTACTTTCAGTTGAAAAACATTCACAAGTACTCTCTCCTCTGCTGCTCTTCCTTCACAACTAAGTGCTCAAGTTTGACTCTGCAAAGCACACAAGAGTACCAATGCCCAAGCACATGCCCTCCCACTCTCTGGCCACCGGCTTCTGCAGCTCTTCCTTCACCTAAAGCTCAGCCGGTCCTGCCACAGTCCAGAAGGCTCAACATATTATAAGCATCCCCCAGCAGCTCATGCAATGACACTGCTCGCCTATCTTGGTTCCACTTGCTGGGGCATAAATCATTCATGCGTCCCATTTTCCCCGCGTCACTGGAGAGCTCCTGTGCTCACTGCATCCCTGCCACATCTCTGCCCAGTCTCTGGGTGCATCACGCTGCTGCCTGGCCAGTGTCTCCACTCTTGGGGTCACTTCAGTCCAGAATTCTGGAACCCTGAGGTTGCTGCATATTAATCAAGACTTTGTATTTTCTGTATTTCCTAATGTTTTGACATCTGGGGCCTTGCTGATTCTAGAGAGAGTGTTCCTCCCATGGTTGGCTAATTCCTAGACAGAGCAAAAGATTCACCTGCAAGTGCACTTTTCACATGCAAACCAACCCATCCAGAGCCGACACCCCAACCACTTTCTGCATTGGGCTCTCACATGTGGGCCATTATCTACCTGCCCCAGTCACCCAGGGGCCAGGTTCCAGACCTGAGGGACAGCCCTATGCCCACGAGCTGCAGAAATGACCAAACTACCAAAACTAAACCTGTGCAGCCTGCCTCACCTGCTCCTCCTGCAGAAACCACAGTAAAGGCTCCTGCCCACATTTTCCCCTCACCGGCGGCCTCCTGACCTACCCTGGTGCTTCCCAGGAGGCCCTGTGTAGCCCAAGTGCCCCCTTTACCTGGGAACTGAGAGTAACAAATGATCTTTCAATGGCAATTGTCTCCTGGCCTGCTGACCTCACTCTACCTGGATCATAAGAAAACCATATCTTAACACAGGCTGCAGCCTCAGTCAAACCTCTTGCTCCCCTCAAGCTGTCACTCTCCATAGTAGGATGGCAGGAGAGGACTTCAGGCTCCAGCCCTCCTGAGCTTCCATGTTTCTTAGAGCTCTGGCCTCCCCATCTCAGGAAACGGACCCAGCTGCCGTCTCTGCCTCCTCTCTCACCTTGATAGTCACCCAGATCCATCAGCAAGCCTCACCAGGATCACTCTCAAAACATCTCTCGAATCAGCCCTCTGCAGGTAACACCTGGCCTTCCCAAGTGCAGGCACCAGGACATCACACAGTCCAGCGTGCACACTGCCTCTGTCCCGGGCCTCGCCCGGCTCCATGCCTTCTCCAGAAAGCAGACAGATGGGTCCTCACAGAGCCCAATACAGGGCATATGACCAACCTGGGCATACAGCAGCCTGCTTAAGACCCTCCAGTGCGTCTTATGTCTTTGTAGAAAAAGCCTGTGCTCCTCAGGCCCCATAGGGTCTGACTCCACCTGCCTTTCTGAGTCAGCTTCCATCCCCGTCTTGTCCACCATGCTCCAGCCACGCTGGCCATCCTCTCCTTGTTCCAGGATAAGCTGAGCAGAAGCCAGCTTTTGCCTTGGCTGTTCCCATTCGCCTAGGACTCTTTTCCACCCAGAAGTTTGTGTGACTTTCTCTTGCCAAATATTTAGGCCCCAGCATGAACATTGGCCCCTCAGAGGGGTCTCTCCTGACCACGCTACTTGGTGTGTAAACGCTATTTAAAAGCATGTTTGGCTGGGTGCGGTGGCTCATGCCTGTAATCCCAGCACTTTGGGAGGCTGAGGCAGGCGGATCACGAGGTCAGGAGATTGATCACCCTGGCTAATGCAGTGAAACCTCATCTCTACTAAAAATAGAAAAAGTAGCTGGGCGTGGTGACCTGTGCCTATAGTCCCAGCTACTTGGGAGGCTGAGGCAGAAGAATCGCTTGAACCTGGGAGGCGGAGGTTACACTGAGCCGAGATCGCTGTGGCCATTGTTACCAGCCTACATGACAAGAGTGGAATGCCATCTCAAAAAACACAAGGCATGTTCCTCGTGTTTGTGAGTATGCGGTCTTTAGGCTCCCGCCCACCTCTGCCCCACAATGTGCTTTTCAGGTGATCGGGGGCTCACTCTGGAGACGTATCTAGAATGCCTGGCATCGGGGAGAGCATGAGGTGGTGTGGCTGCTTAACAAATATCAGCTCCCTTCACATTCCTATATCTTCCACAGTTCCTGAGAGGCACACTCCCCAGTCTATAGGTTTTGGCCCTCAGGGGGGTTTCCCCGTGGATCTGTGAACTTTGCCTGTGAGCTCACCTTTAAAGAGTCCTGAATGCCTCTGTGGGAGGCTCTGTTTTGGACCCTGAGGGGTCCAATGAGCTTCATGGGTTCTTCCATTGATATTTAGCCTCAGGGAGCACCTGGAATTTGGAACACACAGCCCTGTGTGGTACAGTCTTCAAGGCTCCAATTTCTTCAAGTGAATCTTTCTCTGCCCATGGTCCAAGGCAGTCTGCCAGCTCTGGGCTGAGTCCCTGTGGCAGGCAAAGATCTCCCAGTCCTGTGGCCATTGACAGTTTTACCTCCTGGCTTGACTGAAGGAGCTCAGTTCTAACTAAATCAGAGGCCTGGGAGCTCAGTGCTAGCCCCCACAGGTGTTCAAACCCAAGCTCCTCACACTCCTCTCTGGTGCAGATGCCCTGGGAGCTGCCTTGGTGTCTGCTCCTGCTGGGATTCCCTCCTTGGTTTGACCCCTGGGGACTTCCCTTTCTTCTTCTTCTTCTTTTTTAAAATAATATGGAGTTTTGTTCTTGTTGCCCATGCTGGAGTACAATGGTGTGATCTCAGTGCATCACAACCTCCGCCTCCTGGATTCAAGCAATTCTCCTACCTCAGCTTCTCGAGTAGCTGGGATTACAGGCGTGCGCCACCACACCCAGCTGATTTTGTATTTTTAGTAGAGATGGGGTTTCTCCATGTTGGTCAGGCTGGTCTCAAACTCCTGACCTCAGGTGATCCACCATGTCGCCTCTCAAAGTGCTGGGATTACAGGTGTGAGCCACTGTGCCTGGCCTGGAACGTCCCTTTCTTGCACTGGAGCTCAGCGTCACACTTGTAAAAAGCGCTGTATTGTATCCAGCATTTGCGGGTGTGTGTGGAGGGGTCATGTCTGTTCAGTCTGCCATCTCCACCAGAAGATCCCTTCTGGCCAGTCCCAACACTTTTGTCTTTACTGTCCCTACCCAAAGAAGCCACCCCTTGGGGACTGTGCCTTGTGTAGCTTGGTTTCTAGTCCTTGTTAATGTACGTGCTCCCTTGTCTGCTCTTCAGAGACACAACCCTCCGAAACACCCTGGGGCATGCAATAAATACTTGCTCATTAAAGGAAGGCAAGCAACTTTCAATATTTTGCCACCAACAGCTGGTCATGCTGGCTGGTGCTACAGCTCACCCCCTCTCCCCAGCGGGCCACTTCATCCTGTCAAGTAACAGAACCCAGCAGCAGATGGGAGGAAGACTATAAAAAAAAGAGTAGGCAATGACTGGCTTTTAAAGCCAACAATTCTAGAGGAGCCTTTTAAGGCTGGTAGGCAAAGGTGGTTTACATTTCTCACCATCAATGTTTTTAACCTGGCCCCATTACACCCAGACTCCTATATATATTAAGAGGATGCAATAACAGTAACAGCAGTGACTAATATTTAATATTTATGAGTATTTATAGAGCAGACATGTACTAAGCACCTTAATAGTAATATAAACATGAAAATAATTATGATTATCATGGCGGTTAACATACACATGGCAGTAAGTGACAGGCATCATTCTAAATGTCTCATACATTAATTCACTTCCTCCCAACCCCATTATTGACCATGATGACTCAGCTGGTGAACTCGAGGCACACAGAGATTAAGTGACTTGTTTAGGGTCACACAGCTATTAAATGGCAGAGCTCCAGGCTCCATGTCCGAGCCTCCCTTCAGACTGTGCCTCCGTGCATGTGTTTTCCACGCATTATTTCAGACTTCAAAACAACCCCATGAAGTAAGAACTATCATGATCCACTTTTTACAGAGATGACAAAATGGGGGCTCAGGGAGGTGTGCAGCAGGCTGAACGCAGCACAGCCAGTCGCTGGGCCAGCTCTACCCAGACTGCAAAGCTGGAGCTGTAAGTGGGAGGCAGAGCACCTGGGAACCACTGTCCTCACGCACACACAGGCACATACATGCACATACACATACACGCACTTACACACACACGCACACACATTTACTTCTGCAAGTCCCCTAGATGCCTTTTCAAAAGCTATACAATTTGTTTTGTTTTGTTTTTGAGACAGTTTTGCTCTTGTTGCTCAGGCTGGAGTGCAATGGCACAATTTCTGCTCACTGCAACCTCTGCCTAGTAAGTTCAAGCAATTCTCCTGCTTCAGCCTCCCAAGTAGCTGGGACTACAGGCATATGCCACTATGCCCGGCCAATTTTTGTATTTTCAGTAGAGATGGGGTTTCACCATGTTGGTCAGGCTGGTCTCAAACTTCTGACCTCAAATGGTCCACCCACCTTGGCCTCCCAAAGTGCTAGGATTACAGGCATGAGCCACTGTGCCTGGCCTATGATTTGTTTTTAAAACTGTGTATTTCAAAGAATTTTGCTGAGGTTTTAGAATATATTTAAATAAATGAATACCTTACCTTGCCGATCAATAGACCTCAATATGTTTCTAAAGTTAAAAAACAAAAACAAAAACCCAGCCCTTCTCATACAGGTCAGCCCTGCACAACTGGAGCTGCTTCAGAAAAACCTTCTCTGCCATGTCTCCCCGTCATGTGTCCTCCTGCCTGGGACAGGTGGGAGCAGAGCCTGGGTGAGGGAAACAACCCTGTCTGCCCTCCCAGGAGTATGAGTTGCCAACAGGGTGTGCTCTGTTCTCCCAGCCTAGGAGAGAACCCTGGTACAGGCCAGCAGCAGAGGAGGTGGCAGAGAGGATCTGCTGGGGTGGGGACGACGGATGGAAGCTGAGGGAAGATGGGCCTGCTGGGGAGAGGGGGTGAGCTGTAGCACCAGCCAGCATGACCAGCTGTTGGTGGCAAAATATTGAAAGTTGCTTGCTTTCAGCATACTTAATGCTTTGGAATGCTGTATCTCTAAAGAAGAAACAAGGACTAGGGGCCAGGCAGGGGAAGACAGGAGCCAGATGTGACAACAGCCAGCCCGCTTCAGGTCCAGGCTCTGACATGAGCCAACGGGGGTCGGGGGACCACAGTTCTGTCCTCTGTACGATGGGCTGCTGAGATATGGGGGGGGAACAATTTATTATGACAAAGTGCTTGCCATCTGTACCTGGTACATGAGGAAGCACAGAACAGCATTTGTTAGATAAATCGGTGCCCTTGAACTCTGAAACAGCTAAGTCCAGCAAAAGCCACCAAAAGGGAAGGGGTAGAAAGGCTTCCTTAGGAGATAAAAGGAAGAGAGCTGCCCACTCCATCCTTATCCAGGGAAACTACTGCTCATTCTCTGCCCCTTAAGGCCCTGTTGGGGCACAAAGGCTGTTCTAGAACACACCTGTGTCATGGGAGGGGTCTGGACGTCTGACTTCAGACAAGAACTGGAGGGGGCCCCAGCAGAGGAGCCCCATTCTGGCAGCTGTGGCTGCTGAGTGGACTCTCTGGCAGGTGACCTCTTCCCAGCCACTACTGCTGGCCCCATGCTGCTGCCAAGGTCCTCACGATACAGGGAGCGAGACCCAGGCTCTTGAGGAAATGCACCTGCACCCTGTGGTACATCTACTACCAGGGAGGGGATGGGGACAATACCACTAAACCAAAAGGTAGGTGCTTTCTTCCCTCCCAGGCACCTGAGCAAAGGAGGCTCGGCTCCAGAGAAGCCTTAAAAAAAGGACACGGCTGACTGCAGGGCCAGAAAGTTGGTTTTCTTTGTTGACTAAATAGTAGCAATACAGTGTCACGTGCATAATCTACTTGTAGGTGAGGTGAGAGTATCAGCATGGAGGGGGATAGGAAGGAAGGGAAAGGAAGAAAAACAGCATTTATAAAACGGTAAAACAATCATTTTTTTGGTAATTATCTCTCTATCCATGGAGCAGTGGTTTTTAACCTTGACTCAACATTAATTCCCTAGTGAGTTTTTTTTAAAAAACCCAGTTGCCCTATGAAACCCCCTATACCAGTGTGTTTAGTGTTCCCCCCCCCCAAAACTAGCAAATAAAAACATTTAAGGTTACTCTTAGTTCAGAAACACACATTGGACTGATACTGAGCAGGGGTGGTCAAGCTATTTTTTGTAAAGGACCAGATAGTCAATATTTTCAGCTTTATACCACAGCATCCTGCTGCAGCCACTCAACTATGTGTATAGCCAGAAAGCAGCCATAGTTAATACCTATGTAAATGCATGAGCATGGCTGTGTTCCAATAAAACTTTATTTGCAAAAACAGACAGTGGGCTAGATTTGGCCCACAGGGTGAAGGTTACCTACCCCTCACCTAGAAGAGATAGGGGGGCTTTTCTAAATCACTCCCTTAATATCTCCAAATTCACCCCTCCCAACACAAAACCCCCACCTCCCTGCAAATCCATTCATAAAAATTCATGTCAGAATAACCCCGTGGGGTGGGTAGCAAGTAGGTGTGAAATCAGACTGACCAGTACATTTGCAGATTTATGGAGCTGGGTGAAAGGGATGGGGGGCTCATTCCACTCTTCTGTCTACTACTCTATATATCTGAACACTTCCAAGGCAGAAAGTTTAAAAAATAAAATGGTTTAAAAAGGGAGGAAAACCTCAGACAGAACCACAAGCTGAAATGAGTGGAGAGTTTGGGGATCATGTCCTGCCCGTGGCTGGGCATTCAGGAAAAACGTGCAGACACACCAGCCCAGGGCGCCGTGTGGAGGATACTCACGACCAGTACAGCAGCATGAGCAGGAAGGGGCAGATGATGAGGGCCTGCAGCACCTGCCAGTCCCGGCACAGGGCGGCTAGCCCTGGCATGAGGAACTGCCCCGCCATGGCCACGAAGCTCGCCACCATCGTAATCATGAACCGTTTTCCAGGGGGACACAGCTCTATTCCTAGAACACAGAACCAACGAGAGAGAGATGAGTGCCCTGCTCGACGGCCCGGGGAGAGTCCTGGGTGCACTGGGGCCAGTGCACTGCTCAACCCACCACCAACTGAAATCATTTCCATCTGCTGCGCACCACAAGTGCCCTATGTGGTGTGCCAATGTTTTATGAGGGCACTGAGGCTCCCAATTGGGAAGGGAAGTGAGATGGTTATTCAAGGCCACAGAACTAGTCAATGACAAGGGGATGCTGTAATTCAGAGGTGCTCAGCTCAGAAACCAGGAAATGGTGCTGCTTATGAGAGAGATCACCTATTGTTCCCGCTTCCTCTGTTCTCCAGATGTCACTGAGCTTGCTGTCCAGCACGTTCCCCCTCATGCCCATCCTGTTGCCATTCCTTCCTGTCCATGATGCTGTATTAGGGGCCATCTTGACCTCTGGACAGAACACCAGGCATGTCCATCTACTCACTCCAACCCATGTGTACCACCCACCCCTTCTTCTGGTTCTTGCTCCAGTGTGCCTGGGGCACTCCAAGTTCCGGGCAACCTACTCACACTGTGAGACGGTGGGGAGGCTGAGCTGAATCCCACTTTGTCTATTAAACAAGACAAAAACAAACTATAAGGCTGACTCAGACCATATAGCAATGATCCTACCAGAAAACCCCTTCTCCATGTGGGAGTTCTGTTGGCCGTTGTGATGCAGGAGAGTTGTGTGTCCTTTCTCTGTTACTATGAGACACCTCTCCCTGGGCAAGGGCCATGTCTAATTCATCCTCATAGCTCCAAAACCAAAAACAGTGTCTATTTTCAACAAATGCCCACTGAGTAGAGGGGGGACTACGGCCCCTCCTATTTGCAAGAATCTATTCTTTTCCTTTGACCTTGAGTCAAAAAGATCAGAAAACTTTAATCTGTAGCACCCAAGTGACAACCAGTACAGACCTACTGCATGAATCACCGTAATGAAAGCCCTTTATAGTAGAAAAGCAGCTGGGTTATATATATTTTTTCCCTATAGAGCATGTAAAATTCTTCTGCAATATGTAGTATTTTCAAAGGTTTCTTGCTTGCTTGCTCTCTTAAACGTAAGGTAAGAAGAAGAGGAAGAAGGAAGATGGGCGAGAAGAAGAGGACAGAGGAGGAGGAAGACAGATCCTTGGGAGAGAACACTTTCTACGCCTGTGTGTTAGAGGCTGTTTGGACGGTGGGCTTCATGGATCAGTTGTGACAGCTCATCTGCTGGCTGTCTAGAGACCACAGCATAGGGAGGAGGTCAGAAGGCAATAAGAAGGGAAACAGACTAGAGAGAGAACAGATGAATTACACTTGGCTATGAGGATATTATCAGCCCTAACAAGGAGAGGGCACTATGCCAGCCAATTCCTATAGCAGCTCATCTGCTGGAAAAAAAATTATTATGCCATCAGAATTTCCATTCCTGCTCAGTCACAAGCAAACAGATCATCATCATAGCTAACAGTGAACAAGAGAGAAACCAGATTTTACTGATTATTGCTTAAAAAGAGGTTTCTACCATTTAATTAGGAAAACACGATTAAATGGCTCACTCTTGCCCATTTGCTACGATGCTGTTAATTTGGTACCATAGGTCAGGTTCATTTAAAAGATCACTTCCTAGCAGGGTCCAGATCTGGCATTTCTGCTCTTGCAAATAATAAAGAAAACAAGGTCTTTAAGAAAAGATTAACAGTTGTAGGTCTCGTTTTCACATATTAAGCACAAGCAGTAAATTGGCTGCTATGGAAACCAGAAATCTACATTAGGGTGGTTAAGTTCAGTGTTGGAAGCTTGGCATGGGCTAGTATCAGATAAGGAAATTCAGCACTTGGCCATCCAGGTAATCTTTTAACAAAGTCAAAGAGATAATATGGAAATATGATGGTGTTGTATCAGTGGTTTGCTGGTACAGCAGACATATGTTGCTTGCTGTTTTTCTCTTAAATACCTCTCTTTAATTTAGTGACATGATACAATGAAAATGTCTGCAATTGGCTGGGTGCGGTGGCTCACACCTATAATCCAGCACTTTGAGAGGTGGAGGCGGGTGGATCACGAGGTCAGGAGTTTGAGACCAGCCTGGACAACATGGTGAAACCCCATCTCTACTAAAAATACAAAAAAAATTAGCTGGGTGCGGTGGCACATGCCTGTAATCCCAGCTACTCCAGAGGCTGAGGCAGGAGAATCGCTTGAACTTGGGAAGTGGAGGTTGCAATGAGCTGAGATTGCACCACTGCACTCCAGCCTGGGCGAGACAGTGAGACTCTGCCTCAAAAAGAAAAAAAAGAAAAACGAAAATATCTGCAACTACACTTCTTTTACCAGAGCCCGCTTTGGGATGTCTAACCCCACATCCTAATCTACACTGATGTGATGTCACACAAAGGATCATGAGGCCGCTTCCCAGACCAGGTTCTAGGTTTGAAGATGAGCAGGGAAAATGGTCCCTGGCTGGGCCAGTCTGACTTCAGTCTCCCCTTGCTACAGGTGAATTGCTGTGGCTGGCACATCTCTTAGTGTGACTGTCAATACGACAACGATTAAATGGTCATAGTTTTTCTTCCAAAGGTTCTCTCAATCCTCTCCTGTATGTAAGTGGTCAGTGTGGTCCCTAACCCTTCGCTGCCTATGCTGCCTAAAGAGTAGTACATGAACCTGCTGTGTCGGTATCACATGTGAGCTTGTTAGAAATGCAGCATCGGAGGTCCCGCCCAGACCTATAGAATCAGCATCTGCATCTGAATGAACTCCCGAGACAACTCCTTGAGAAGCACTGGCTCACTGTGTTTCCCCAAGATTGTAAGCATGTTTTGCCTCACAGACATATCTGTGGGAGCTGAAGAAGTGGAATAATTTTCTGATCTCTCCACTCCTTCTGTTTTTGCTACTAATCCTAGTAGAGCCTCGACTTTATTTCATCAGGTAGAAAAACACAGAGCACTCCAGCAGACACTTGGCATTTTAGCATTCCTGCCAAGGCAATGGAAAAACACAGCGGGCTGATGGAAGGACACAGGTGTGGACATCTGCAGCTAACTACCTTATTTGCCTTGACTCACCAGAAAATCTTTCCAAACTGCTTGAATCTAACTATATTCTGAATATGGCTATAAAGATGTTTTTGTAAAAGGAAGCAACGAGTAAGAAACCGCCGGTACTTGAGGATTGCCATTAATCACGTTTCTCTGGAAGATGAGAAATCCGTTTTTTTTTTTTGAAGTGGGGAGGAAAGAACACATGAGGACATTAAGCCTTGAGTCCTGGCATCCCTAAGGAGGGGCGGGGATGCAGGTGGATGGTTTCTGCTGGGCTCTACAATAGAAGCATTTGGTGCAGCAGCTCCCACACCTTGGAGATGGTTCCAGCCACCTGGCCAGGCCCACTGGGGCTTGAACTTGCAAGGCAGGGAATGATGTCCGCAGTCCAACTGCCCCTTCAGGGCCTGGCTAATGTGGGGAGCAGATCACTCACAGGCAGGCGTCCACAGTGCCCACGGAAGACCTTGGCTGGCAGCTGTGTCCTGGTACTTGCTAGAATCAATCTCTTTGCCAATGGAGCCAAACCCAGATCCTCTTAGTAGATTTTCATTTATGGGTAGCAAGACTCCCCCTGGTTATCTAAAACATTTAAGGGCCATAATAAAATATCGTCTTGGGTGATGCATCAAAGATTCAAACATTAAACTATTTCAAGTGGCCAGTGTGCAGCACTTCCACTGCTGTGGTTAAAAGCCTGGACTCCGTAGCCACAGTACCCGAGTTCACATCCTGCTCCTGGTACTCAGAAGCTGCGACCTTCGTTCAGTCAGTTAGGAGTTCTGTGCCTCCATTTTGTTGTCTACAAAAGGGGGTGCTGTGAGCACTAAAGAGTGTATTTTGTTGGAACATAAGTGCTATGTGTTAGCGTTTATGAGTAACAATCTCATGCATGATTTTTGCAGATTTTGGAATACTTGCATATGTATAATGAGGTATTTTGGGCAACAGACCCAGGTCTAAATACAAAATTCATTTATGTTTCATCTACATCTTACACACATATCCTGAAGGCAATTTTATATAAGATTTTAAGTAATTTTGTGCATGAAACAAAGTATTCACTGTGACCCATCACATAAGGTCATATGTAAAATTTCCTACTTGCGGTGTCGTTTAGGTGCTCAAAAAGCTTCAGAGCATTTTGGATTTCAGATATTCTGATTAGTTTCAGATTAGGAATACCCAACCTGCATAACAGTATAATTATTGCCAAGTCTCTCTTTGGTCTCATTTGACATGGTGAGATCCCATCTCTAAAAACCAGCCAACCATCCAACCAATCAAACAAACCACGTTACTTTTCCCTAACACCTTAATGAGGAATGCTTATGAGCTACTCTTGGCAGCTAGATATACTTTGTCAATAAGCAGAGAAATTATTGAGGGCTGTGAGAATGAAACAGTACGTAGCTGAGACTGAACTGAGGCATTTGGTCAGTGAATCAGCAGGGACCATGACTCAGTCTGCGCACAGAGGCCGCCTGGAGGCTCTGATACAAACATGGCATTGTTAGGAGGCCATAGCTCGGGGAGATTTGCTTTTCAGAAGTTGTCAGATTCTTACCAATTTTCAGGAGGAAAAGAACATTGTGCCTCCCAGAGTAGACACTTCACATGATGGAGGAGGAGGGCCCGAGGGAGTGGGGTGTGGGGGTCTGATGTGTCATGTGGCGAGGCTATAGTCACAGGAGTTGCTCAAGCATGAACTTGGGTGCTGCCGGGAAGATGGCTGATAGGTGTGAGTGAAGTCCAGAATCAGCTGACTTGGAGGGAGGGGCTTCTAGATAATTTGGGTGGGTCTTGCCTCATCTGTTGAAAGACCTCATCTGTTGAACACCCAGCCAAGGCTTCCTTGAGGAGGAAGAAGATTCCACCTGTGAACGGCAGTGCCTGCCCTCATGCCCAGGAGTCCTGATGCCTAGCCCTCCTGCTGGCCCCTCAT